CACATACGTAAGGTACCTTGCGGGCTGGCACCATTTTTTAGACACAGTACACCATGTTAACAATCGCAAAAAGTGGCGTTTAGGTAATAATAAGGTATTGCATACATCATATGCTGTAATAGAGTTAAAGAAAGATGCCTGGGTAACATTTAGATTAGTCTACTTTTAGGGTATTCTTTGTTTATAGTATTGGCCATTGTGAATAGGTTCGTTTAATCGAAGAAATTCGGGATGTTATATAAAAGTATAGTAAACAATAAATAACAATTTCGTGATATCATTTTCATGACATCTAGGGCACACAAATAATTCATTTAAATATTTTTTAAGGAGTTTAAGAACAGGTATAAGACGTCATGCACATAAAGTACACGACATTCAGCATGTGTAACACTTGTAAATCAGGGGTCTATAGCTATCTACATCGATATTTCGAAACAATAAAACTCCTATTAAGCCTATATTTAATATTTGATTGCAATGTTGATGCTTTGATGACACGCCTAAGAAAAATGAATGCAACCGGGCTAACGATGATACTAGCCGGAGCTACGCAACAGCAAGTTTCAACTGCATTTGGTGTATACGTCAATCGGCTTTGCAGCGCTTAAACGTACGTTTCCACCAGCTAGGAAAACGAATGACAGACCAAAAACTGGCTGACTGCAGGTAACCCGAACAGGGCCGTCAGATCCCCCTTCAGCTCCTGCACCATTGATTAACAACTGCTGTACAAACTGCTTGATGAAAAAATCAGAATAAAAGTACACAAATTTACAAGAAACTGAAAGAAACCGGTAGTCGTGCACGACGTCCGCACAATGTTAAGCCATTAGGGCAGAGACGAAAACAATGACATTAACTAAACTTTTTAATTCGCAACATAGGACATGTTTGGTTTTTATTCAAGTATTATTTTATTATTATTCAATTATTCAATTGAAAACTCATAATTAGATTTTCCTGTGTAATTTGAATATTTGTTTCTTTTTTGTTGAGTATATATGTTATTTAAAGATTTATTGGCAGTAATAATAAACAATAGTAAAATTCATTAGTACTAGCATATAATTTTTAAAACTTAGACTGCAAGCATATCTTCTTTAAAAACAAGTGTAATTGTAATTTTTTTCATTGTATGCATATTTTACTTTTATAAAATGATATGACATCTATTTCTACATCTGTTTTGTGTTTGGTTCTGCTATTTTTTTGTATTATTAAACCTTTAAGAATACCCATTGGTCGATATCTTTATAATATATAAAATGTATTATATACGTAACATAATGCATACTAGATTTTTATATATCTGAAACTGTTTCCACACAAAATAAGCACTGCATTGAAGGCGATGCATTGAAAGGTTAATCTTTCTTATGAATCAACAACTCTGTCCAAGACAATAATTTGGCAAGGCATCTATTTTTCTGTGTATCAGGACTTTTTTTCAAGATTTTTTCTCTCAGAACGTGAATTTTCATGCAATGGTCCATCAAAAACACAAAAATACCAAGATAACGCCAAATTATGTTTGATCAATGAACCTACAAATTAATATTATTGCCATAAAATAAAAAATAAAAATATTGAAATAACGTCCCATTTTTTCAATGAATATTTTTCATTTAGATATGTTCAATTATATTGAATTTGATTTTTTAAAATTGTTTTCGAAAATGCATAATGCTTCTCATCAAAAGAGGCAAGTATAAGTGAATTTAAATGAAATATCCTTTTCTTATCCATGACCATAGACTATTAGGGCCAGCGTACAACAAAACTATGGCACTAGCTTTCATATTATCTCCTGCGTTTGCAAAATCACATTCGTCTGTCCGTCTTTCTGTGCCAGAAAAATTTAAATGTACTTGGACACAGATTTGAAGTTAATATTTTCTGTATAATATCACGAATTATATATTTAAATATCATTTCTCACAAAAATTAATTAAAAATCTTATTTCATTTAAGAGTAATTAAAACTTTAAATTTTTTTGCGGGTTTGATTGACACATCCTGCACTTTCACAAATCTTAACTTTATTCTTAATCCTAAGGAAAAGTGGGAATCCTGATGTGTATTAATGAGAAATATTAAAACTTAAACCGAGAAGAATAATTTTATTCAGAGTTGAAATGTTAGAAAGCAGAACTTCTTCACAAGTATCGTAATTCCGTTGTGTACAGAGTTTTTCGAATCGATCACACTCGTGTTTTGTACACAGGTTTTTGTAAACATGTTATTCTTTGATGTTTATACTATTACGATTCATCCTTAAATCGCCAAAGTCTGTTCACCACAACTGCACGGACTGACAATATATTGTGTGTTTGTTTTGCTTTAGAAAATGTCTACTCTGAATTTTCTGGATTATAGTATTAATATTTTTCATTAATACACATCAGGATTGCTACTTTTCCTAAGGATTAAGAATAAAGTTAGGATTTGTGAAAGTGCAAGGATGTGTCAATCAAACTCGCCAAAAATTTTAAGTTTTAATAAACTTTAAATGAAATAAGATTTTTTATTATTTTTTGTGTGAAATGCTATTACAATATATAAGTCGTAATATTATAGAGAAAATATTAACTTCAAATCTGTGTTTAAGTACCTTTAAACGTAGACAAAACGTTGAATGACAAGAGATAGGACTTCATATTTCATTATCAGGAAAACAGACAAAGAACCACGTACTCTAACTCTTGTTTCCCGCCTACATTTTGCACCCTTGAAATTCAATTTTAATGGCAATTTGGCCATTAAATCTTGGTTTAGTACAAAGAACAGTTCTATGGTAATATTGATTAATCATTTTAATTCCAGCTCTAGATAGTAAATGATCATTAATTTCAGCTCTCAAAAAAGGGGGGTAGACGATATTTTCTAGTGAAATCGAACTTTCAAGAATCACTTTAATTTTGAAATAGTCTTAAATATGATTAAATGTATTTCATATCTTTTGTTATGCTTTACACAAATAAATAAAACATATATAAATTATTAAAATACAATTGTTTAGTTGTAAATAGCTTTATAATTGATGAAAAATTAACATTTTTCCGTTTTTTGTCTATAAACATATGTTCCCCCCCCCCCCGTGAAACACAAAAAGCTTTGGCATAAATTTGTAAAATGACAGTCTATATTTCCTGTAAAAAGGAATTTTTGTTTCATGGTGGGGAAAGATGTTTTAAAAGTATTTTCCGTTTTCCATTGATATCTATAGTGAAATACTCAAGTTTTACCAAAATTATAGAGTTATCTTTCTTTGGTATCTCAAAAAAGTAACCTTTTATGAAAATTCATTTAAATATCTATAAAAATTCTGAAAATCATTCAAATATGTTAACTTTTGAAAATTGACTTAGAGCTAGGCGGGAGAACAATACTATCGTTCGTGGTTCTTCATAGTAAATTCAATGTTTAGATAAAGACGTAACAATTGATATGAAAAATCAGTCAGAACATGATTTAATGGTAGATTTTTTTTGCTGACTAGATCAATGATGGAGATAAAACGTGCAAAATAATGATAATAAACAATACTGCAAATATCAAGATTCCATGAAATTGTTTATCAAGAATTTGCATTGTTTTTGAAATCATTGATATAAAGTGCATGTGTGCGCATCGAATCAACTAAGAAGTATTTGTTAGAGTATTTACATAATTAATTGAAGTGACGATTGAAAATCACGTTTATCATAAATCTTCGTTGTTACTATCAACGTCTTTGTAGGAATAATCGAGTTTTACTAACTAAAGTCTGCTCAATAGTGGAGATTGGGCTCAATGTAAATAAACGGAGGAAAGTCTTATCTTTTTAATCTTTTTTAATTTTTTCTAATAAAAAAAAACCCAGGAAGTTTTACAATGATTCGATGATTCTGTTTTGCAATAAGATGACTGTGTACGTGATGATCATTTTTCTATGTTTTTTTCTTTGTTTTGGATTGTGATCAGCCTTTTATTATTTTTTTATTTAAACACAATATTATGATAATGAGTACATATACTTTAAATCATAATACGTATGAAGGCAGAGCAAATCTTTAGACTTAATAATAAGCGCAAAACTGTCGAAACAAGAGGCTCTTATTATTACTTGCATACGTGTGTTGTCCCGTAAAATCGTGGACAAAGCGTTTTTCTCGAAAAGTAATGGGCGCACTAAACTGAAATTTTCAGTAGATGTTTATTTATCACATTTAAGTGCATTATTATGTTTTTGATAATATACAGACAAAAATAAAGATTTTATTATGCTTGAATATGCACAGGGTATGGTCTTACGGCGCACGGTAGAAATAACAAGGTTAAATTAGAGAATACACAAAAATTAATTCGTAATAAAAGTTTTCAGTACATAAGATTGGGATGAATATGATCATAATTCGATTCCTTAATCAATTTTGTCGTATTTATAAAAATTTTTAAGGCTTTAAGTTAATTTTTGGCAGATTCCCGAGCATTCGAAGTGGGAAAGTGGTTAACACAATACACGAAAAATCAGGGTTATTGATGAAGTTACGGCGAACCGGAGAGCAGTTTAGTTAGATTCGGATGTTGTAATGACACCTTAAGAGACTTTAAATGAATACAGAAGAAAGAAAATATGACAAAAATCACCAGATCTTTAGTATATAAATGAAATGGAAGTTTTCTTAGCGAAGCCTTTTTGATTGAGTCCCCAGGTAGTACAAAAATACGGACAAGCTGCTATTGTAATAGCAAAAGACGTTGTCACTGTCGACTATTGATATGAGATTGTCTGTTAGTTGACTAATGGTGAAAATACAGTCGTAACTTCATAATAAATCTTTAGAAGATCGCATGTATGTGCCAGATTGGTACCTTAACTGGTTATACACAACTACGTATATGAATCAGTGGAATTTCTAAATTTAAGTGGTTTTACTTAAGGTCATACTTTTACAAAACAAACATAAAACCAAAGATAATTTTCAATTTATATTTCACTATTTCATTCTTCAACAGAGCATGTTACTTTTTCACCAATTTACAAACTTCAAACTGGAATCGTCGATCTCTGAAAAAAAAAAAGTTCTGTATAAAACACAGCTTAAACATGTGTAAATTGTTTAAAAAAGTGTTAAGAGAGGATATGTGTGCTAAACCCATAAAATATAGTGTTGGGGGCTAAGCCCTCACTTTAATTGTCCATATTATGTCTATATTCAATAAACTTTGTTCAGGAGCAGATGTTATTTAATGGAAAATGGATGGATTGATAAATGGATAGAAGGAAAATGATAGTTTTCAGAGTGTATTAAGGCGGACTTTCTTCGGAAATGTCCTAATAATAATAAGTTTACACTCACTCATAATGGTTGTGATGGACACTATTGACTCCACGCAGTACATAACCTTTTGGTACAAAATATACCACTGGCTGGTCATAATGATTCACCCAGCCCGTCCAACGACACTGTTTGTATTGATAATCTGCAAAGAAGAAGCAAGGGTTATGTATAGAGCAAGTCGTATAATGTACCAGCATAATAGTAGATACAACACAATTAAATGACCATTTTGAAAATGTAGGGTTAAAAAAATACAACAAAACTTCAAGAACAATTTCAGTTGTACTGGCAAATAGTACGGGAGGATGAATCATGTGTGAAAATGTGGCTTTTACTGTTAAAAAATTATGCTTATTTTTTTATTCAGAGTGATTCGAGGTATTAAACGTACTTAAACTTTTAGGGCCGCAGCAACGGAATCTATGGCGTCTATCTTCATAAGCATTGTGGTGATAGCTTGCCATGCCGTTGATGTACCCAGCACCAGGACATCGGTAGTGTACAGCATGATCAAAGTCGTTGACGTATCCTTTAAGTTGCAAAAATGAAGAAAAGATGAAGTTGAAAATGATATATCTCATAAATATTGTAAACAGTAGGTTTAATGAAGATAGCATGGACTCTTGGAATACCTGAGGAGGTCTAATCTTCAAAATTAATTGTTACATCCTCTTGGTAATTGAATCGTTGGGGCAAAATTACAATAGATGAATGCCAGTGATAAGTGTTTATTGATACGTACCATATATACTCGCCTATAAGATGGTCCACCTATACGTCGGTTGTATTCAATAAGCTTATGTATCAGAGGGACTGATCTCATATAATACCATTCATTTTATAGCTCGCCTATAAGTCAGACATAGAGTTTTGGAGAAGAGATTAACTCCCAAAATTCCGACTAATAGGCGAGTATATACGGTAATAGAGAAAATTAATAATTATTGTAAAGTCTACCATAACGTTTAAATTTTGTTTGTCATATGAGTCTAGATCTTTATCTGGAAAAAATGATTACCTCAATAATAATTTGATTATCAATTTCTCGTTGTGGTTATATGAAAATGATTCAATGTTCTAGACAGTCAATAACTAAATATTTTCACAAAAATGTTATTTAGTTAATGTATCTGTTTTAAATGAAAATACCTATTGACGTATTCTTTGGATAAAAATAATTTCACTTCAACTGTAAAATATATCGAAAGCTAGTTTTTGAAATTTTAACTCCGAAATAATGTAAAGACTTTTACCTGTCCAATGACAATTTACATCCCTCCCATGTTTTAGAGCTGTACCACAATGGAGTTCGTACCTTCTGTCTTCATAATGATTGTGATGGAATGATACAATTGCATCAATAAATTCATTTGGGGATCGACAACTGAAGTTAAGAGGACCATCCCATTTGTTTTTGAAACTCAAAGCTTCTTTGAAAGCCAGGACCAAACACAGGGAAAATAAAATTGCTTGGTGTTTCTCTCTTAACTCTGTCATCTGAAAATTAAAGTTTTTTGCAGGATACATACTTAAATATAATCGAAAATGTATCTAAATAGAAAAGAGGCAAAAATATATCAATGGTTTTAAAAAACATTAAAAAAAAACAAAAACGTACCTCTTTCACGAATTGCAATGTTTTTATGCTCACCTGAATGATAGCTTTTTTAAGATTTATATACACTTTGAGTGACTGGCACAGATGTCGAAGATAAGCTACACAGAATTCGAAGTGCTTGACAACAAAATTTATGGGAAGAAACAGGTTGAAGCGTTATTAGAATTCCTATTAATTTTATTTCTTTGACAAAAGGTAAATATCAAACAATGACAGCTGGCTTCATAATGCAGTAGTCAGAAACATACTTCTAAACGAAATTGTTAAATGGTTCCTTTGAAATTGGAGATGTGTGTAGATGAGTTATTTCTCAAACCAGAAAAAAGATTATCTATTTAAGACTCGATCTTAATAAGTTTTTGTTACTATGGAGCAACAATTTGATATGAATATGTTAGCTTTATTTAAATTGTGATCTTGAAAGTGAATTGTTATCTTTTTTTTACGTAGGAGTTTTGAAATAATTAACTTTTTTTGTTTGTAGGATATTCAAATTATATTTAAAAGGAACTTGGATTGGATTCTACAATTGGCAATCCGCACGTTTGAGTCATAGAACCCTTTCTTTGGACAAATTCTTCAAAATTCTATGTCGGTTTTGAATATTTTTAATATTCCCAACGACCAAAATGAATAGGAAAAACCATATATATATTGGATACCTAAACTTAACAAATATCAAGTGTAGAGATACATAGTGGGTTCTATAAAAATGTTCTACCAAGCCCTTTGCTTTGCTCATCAATGAAACATTAACAGAAGTAAAGAACATTTAAGAGTGCAGTGCAACAAAGTACCAGTATTTTACAAGTGGTGTAAATAAGATTTTGATATGTAATTTTTTGAAAACTATGAATATTTTTTTAACCGAAATCAACAACATAAAGCCTTAAGCTTTAATAGGATATATACAACCTTTTCTCACAATGGATGAAAGTTATTTCCCACGGTTAATTAAAGTTCAGGCTAATTGACATTGTTGACAGCTGTTTTTTAAAGAATAATTATGTAACTCATTAATTTACATACATGTACCTTTTAACTGCTCATTTGCAAACTTATTTCGTTAAAACATTCTGGTTGTTAATTAAAGTGCCCTGAAGTCGATATTTAAAAGATGCTTGAGATTCTGATTGACATTACAGTGTATGTATGTGGTTTTTGATTTTTAAAATACCCACTCCTAGATATTGTAAATAATTATGTGGGAATGAAACATGTGAAGAATCTTGGGTTTGCGTAAGCAATCGTTAAAGATCGTGTAACGTGTAGAATAATGTGCTCGAAGGATCCTTCGTGTAATATGTGTAATCAAGGTAGTTTTTCATGAATAACTTGATTGTTTGTGTAATATTTGTCACCATTGTTCGTGTTATATTTCGCAGTTATGATAAGGCTGTCCGAAGGCTTTAAATGCCTTTAAAATATAGTCATTTATTTTGAGCAAGATTCAGATTTCAGTATGTAATCCATGTTTTATATTGCAGTCAACTTGATGTAATATATAGTCAGGTATTATAATAAAGCATTTTTGTGATGTCACATGACTGTGTTGATCACGTGACGGAGATTCATGATATTCCAAAAAAAAAAACAAAAATCGCTTCGGCACAAGTGCAAAACAAAAATATTGTGCAAAATTTGTTACATAGATCGATTAATTGTGATCTCTGGTAAATAGAAAGTGCTGGGGGCAGGTTAAATTTTTTGATCGGTAAGAAAATATTTTACGAGAAACTCAGCTTACCAACATAATAGTGGGTACTTTCCACTCTTTGTTGCGATTTATGCAAATATGGATAAACTACACATAATCTCCCAGCAAAATTCAGTTAGAGCACATACTTTTCTTGTAGATTCACAGAGTATATGTAGTAGTGTGTATTATATGCGTACTTAATAAATAAGTGTTTTAAATTTAATGTAAAATATTAAACTACCATAATATACAAAGGTATAAAAAGCTTGATCCGCTCCTTTATATCCTTAGCCCTTTACCTGTACACCTGTATATAGATAATTAGTTACCTAAGGGCAGGTGAAAGGTTTTGGAGTGTTATTGATTCTTATTGGTAGTTTGGTTGTGAAGTTGGATTTCATTGGTTTTATTCTTATGGTCATTGGTTTTACCGCCAAACTGTTCATTCTTTGTCTTGTTGAGTAAATGACCAAGACTGTGTTTTTCATGGCCTCCCATGACATTGACTTTGGAGACTGACAAATTTCATTTTCTGAGTCAATATACATGTTAATTAAAGCTGTAACCACCATATCATTGTGGAAGCCTTTTCCCACAGAATGGGGAGGAATTATTTGTTTTTATCAGTACTACTTTTTATGCCTACTTTATATGGGAGAAGATATGTAATGTCCATATATTGACTGTACGAGTTATCTCCCTTAATTGAGAGTAAATGTACATATATACTTATCATCTATAATATATCATTATGAATATGTTAATTATGAGAGCTAAATGTATATATGATTAATAGGATTGAATTGATGTGCTATTATATTGTTGTTTTATTATTTTCAGGGCTATGTAAACATTTGTATATCATAAGCTCACTGTGTCTGAATAAATATAAGACCTGAACCGTGACAGAGGAGTACGTGTTGTTCTTCATCACCACCCCTGTTACAAATATCTTCAATTTGTTTTTGTTTATCACTTGTGCCAGTCCAATATAAACACAATTCTTAAATTCTAACATTGTCTACGGACGTGTAAGGGGGTGTTTAACACATAATTTTTCTTTATTTTTGACTATGTGCATTTTGGACTTACGAAAGGAATATGGATATTTAACTTTCAAATGTTCAACTTTATAACAGCATATTTTAGCTAAAATAAAACAATCCTAACACTTTAATCTACATGCGATGTAAAAATTGACGCTTTCCCCGTCATGTCAGCTAATTGTGCTACGTACGTTTCACGTATGTTAAACGTATGTGACACGTACGTGACTTCACGTACGTTTTCCATGAAAAAAGCACCACGTACGTTATACGTATGTTTTCACACGTGTGAATATCATGCGTGACACGTATGTTAAACATACGTATTGCCTACCATACGTTACTCATATATTGCACACGTACATGTACGTTACTCATATGTTTCACATATGAATAACGTACGTGCAACGTGAGTGTAACATATGTGTCTCATAACATGTTTAATGGGTTTATTATTTGCACTGCTCATACTGGTATTGTAAAAGTATAAATACCATACAAAAATGTGTCAAACCATGGTTAAACACATGTTTTGAACATTTTTTTCACATATTGTAAACGTTGGTGAAACAAAAATAACGTGCAATTTAAATATTCAATTCATCCATTTGACATAATTTCCCTCAAAGGCTTATTTTCTTTTCATCTGTTGAATGATCCACTTTATGGTTATCCTTCACTTTAAAGAATGGGTGGACTTAACTGGCCAGAAAAAATGCTACAAATTTAAGTTCCATAAAATGTTAATTTTTTTCCATCATATAAACCCCCGATATCTTAACTGTGTATTTATGGTACGGATGTGAATTTAAAATGCTCTTTTCGAGGTAAACTAAATAAATATCGAAGGCATGGTAACTGAAGTTTTGTTGAATATCAATAGATAATCAGGGTCACGCATTTTTCATCGTCTGAATACATAGTCAGCGCATGTTTGTCGTCTGTTCTTACGAAAACTGTAGTTGTATATTGAACAAAATAATGTCATATTAAAAGGAGAAGAGCCGACAAATGTGCGCTCACACTTAATTTAACAAAAAACATGTTCCAAACAAACTTCTCGCTTCCATTGTTACGGCTTCGATTGACCTGTTGAATATTACAATTCATCACGTGATGTCCACCTGCGAGTGTACTCGTGGAAACAGTTACATTGTATTCTTCAACCTGACCTAGATTTAAATCACTATGTTTGGTGCCGTTTTCAGAATTTAGCACATTAAATGTTGTTTTAATTTTGCGTGTCCTCACATTTAAAAAAAAATCATAATGACATAAATGTAATATTCCAAACACGTATTTGAATTTCTAGAGAGAGAGATGGAGAGAGAGAGAGAGAGAGAGAGAGAGAGAGAGAGATGTCAACAATGACACCGATCGATAGCCCCGCCTCCTATTAATATTGATAGCGCAACCTAAAAACCACTCCGGGTACACGTCAAATTCCGGAACATGACACTAATGTATCGTTGTTTCAAGTTTAATTCATGGCAACAAGGTATTGCTTTTGTACATATGTTCTAGCTAAAATAACCATGTATACGTCGCTCTTTCTAGTGGTTGTAATAAATTTTGGATTCACTTTATTTTCAACTTGTTAGAGTAGTCTCAAAAAGATCCAAAATAGGGCGTTAAGTCCACCCATTCTTTCCTGATCCTAATTGCTCTTGAAGCAATCACAACAAAAGACATATTTAGAGTTAAGCCAAATTTAATGTTGAGTATGTTAACATCAATTCATTCTTCTCCAGTTCTCTTTTATCTGTAAAGAAAAAGAAAATATTAAATGCATGGAATAAGTTATAACCCAGTTTTCCCCCCTGTGATGTTTTACGAAACATTTTACGTACGACTTACTTTTGTTTTTGTAATGTCGGCAAGAGCAGAGCACGTTGACTCACTTCATTTGCAGTGATTAATGCAGTTCCATAGTGTAAGTTGTTTACTTTAATGCTTTAATTGTGTAAACTTATGAAATAGATTGTTATTCTAGGGTGCATAGGAATGCATACTGTGTTAAGATGCACAATTTCTTGATTTGTCGGTTGGCTGACATGACCTATTTTCTGCATAGTGCGCAGATTTGTGTATTGCGATGTTTGCAATTGAAATGTTGTATATGCATACAATATCACACTATATTATGTCGATATGAATCGAATCCATCTTTTTCTATGTAATTGATGTGAAATCAAGCTTTATTTGTGTAGTAATTGAACGAAACATGATACACGTGGTTGCTAATTGATTTTAAAAGTATGGAAGCCAGTTGTGATCTTTATTGCATAAGATATTAGAAAACTATGGAAACACATTATGGTCATAATTGAAAATCCTGAATTATCTTGTCATTATTATTACAGTTTATTGGTTAATTGTAAACTGATTGTTTGTTTTGTTTTGATTTTAGCTTTTTACTAATAAAGAAATGGGATACAGTGTGTTCTAGTGAATTCGTCCCATAACAGTAAAAAGACTGGATCAGCATTCAGCACACTGCAGCGATGGATCCAGATGATCCAACACATGAGGCCATGGGTCGCCCAAAGAGAAAAACAAAACTTACCTTTGTCGGAAAGGAACTATTTGAACAAAAAGTGACAAGTTTCTGGAGCAAACAGCAAAAACTCAGAAGGAAATTGGAAGAGGAAATGAAAGAAAAAGCTTCACATTCAAAAGAGTCTTATGTTCTACAGAGAGACAGAATTTGGCAGACTGATGTTGGAGTATCGTGATCTTCATGAAGATTTCATGGCTTTCCTAGAAAGATCAAACTCAGATGAGAGCTACAGAGAAATGGCATCACAAGACTTAGTTATGCGTTCACTGGAAGACAAAGTGAATGACTTTATGCATGAATTAGATGCATCAAGGAAATCGTTTGTTGACTACAGTCAGAAACAAATCCAGGTTAAAACGGAACCAAGAGTGAGTCCTCCCCAACCAAAGGTTATTCCAGATAATACATCTGCTCGCTCCCGTAGGACTTCGCATTCATCTCGTAGTTCATCTCACAGCATCTCATTAGCTCAACAACGTATGGAAGCTGAGGAGGCAAAGGCAAAATTAGAGTACACACAGAGAGAAGCCAAACTTAGGAAGGAACAGGCATCTATTCAAGTTGATTTGGAGGTTCTTGGAGCCCAAAGAGATGCTGCAGTAGCTGAAGCCAAACTACGCGCACTGGAAAACATGCAAGATTACATATCAATCTCATCACAGTCTATAGTCGGACCAGTTCTGGAGAGGGAGGACCCTATGAAGCGAACCAGAAGATATGTTGAGGAAATTCACCAACAGCCAGTTGAGTCCACGAGGATGCTTTCTCCGTGTCGTGCACTTGATCCGTTTGAACCAAAACACAGCGAGTTTACAAGTTTTCTTCTCAAAAAAGCTATGAACTAATGATTAACAAACTAGTGAACTTTGACGATAAACCTGAGAATTTCTTGGCATGGAAAACTACTTTCAAGTCCGTAATACAGGAAGCCTCCGTATCACCGGCAGAGGAACTACTTATAAGGTGGCTGGGACCAGAATCAAGAGAACACGCAAGAAGGGTGAAGGCCACAACAACCCATAACCCAGTAAGGGGTTGTGAGGCCCTTTGGAGAAGACTTCATGAGATATACGGTTCGCCAGAATTAGTTGAGTCTGCAATACGGCTAAAATTGGCCAAATTTCCGAGGTTGGGGAACAACGACATGAAAAAGTTGTATGACTTGTCAGACCTACTTTGCGAAATAAAATCGCTAAAGGATGACCCCAAACAAGGACCTCTCTTCGCATACTTTGACACTTCTGTAGGAGTTCTTCCTATTTTACAAAAACTTACGTACAGTTTGCAGTCCAAGTGGACCACAAAGGCATCTAAATACATACTGCTACATAATGTGTCATATCCACCGTTTGAAATACATGTATTTTGTGACTTTATTGAAGAATCTGCAAGGATGCTAAATGACCCAGGATTAGTGACCAAGCCAGACAATCCTAATTATAAACCACAGCAGCAAAATCGCGGTCAGCAAGGAACCTTCTCAGTGAAGAAGACAGGTGTCACAGAAACTACAGGCTGTTCTAGTGTCCAGAAAAAGTGTCCAATTCATGGAATGGGTCACACTTTAAATGAGTGCAAGGCATTCCGAAAGAAGTCGATTCGTGAACGCAAACAGTTTCTTAGGGAACAAAATCTGTGCTATAAATGCTGCGAATCTGACACTCATGTATTCAAATCTTGTAATGTAAGTGTTAAATGTACAGAGTGCGGAAGTGTGCATCACCCCACAGCCCTCCACAGGCCTCCAGACAGCCAGGCAACCCCTGAGCAGAATGGCGGGGAGCGCATTCTCAAAGGAGGAGAACAGATTCTATCAAAATGTACCGCCGTATGCGGAGCCCATTTCCAAGGACGCTCATGTGCGAAAGCGGTCCTAGTGAACGTCTATCCGAAGAATGACCCGAAGAAGTGCTTGACTCTATATGCACTAATAGACGATCAGAGCAATGCTACCCTTGCAAAGCCTGAACTCTTTGACTTTATGGGTGTACCAAATTCCCAAGCCCATTTCTTCACACTAACATCCTGTGCCGGACGTGTACAGAAAAGCGGTCGACGGATATCTAACCTAATGGTTGCGACAATGGATGGGTCTGTGGTAATGGAGATGCCAACAATCACCGAATGTGACGAGATCCCTAACGAAAAACATGAAATACCCACCTTCGAGGTAATAAAACACCATGCGCATCTGAAGGACTTACCTCTACCACCCATAGATCCGTGCGCTGAGATTTTGGTTTTAATAGGTAGAGATCTTTTGGAAGCTCATCATGTTCAATCTCAGAGACTAGGACCAAAGAACTCACCTTTCGCTCTACAGCTTAGACTGGGTTGGGTTGTGATTGGAGACGTATGTCTCAACAGGGCACACAGGCCTTCAAACGTTAGTGTTTATAAGACAAATGTTATAACTAGTGAAAGGCAGTCCATTTTCCAACCATGTCCGAACAAGTTTCATCTCACTGAGGACGACACATCTAACCATGAGGACATTGGAGCCCATGTCTTCAAAAGAAAAGCAGATGATGATCAGGTCGACCTGTCTCTTGAAGATCATCAGTTTATTAAAATCATGGATGAAGGCTTTGTGAAAGATGAGGATGGACGTTGGAAGGCTCCACTTCCCTTTAGATCTCCAAGACCTCAGCTGCAGAATAACAGACTTCAAGCCCTGAAACGTGCACAGGTGTTGGACAGTGATCTGAAAAGGAATCCTATTAAGAGAGAACACATGATTACCTTCATGAAATCTATCACAGAGAGTGGTGCATTAGAGGTCGCTCCACCAGTTCCAACAGGAAAAGAGTGTTGGTTTTTGCCTCTTTTCGGAGTGTACCATCCCAGGAAACCAGACAGGATACGTGGAGTGTTTGATTCTTCGGTGAAGTTTGAGGGTCTATCCCTTAACAATGTGCTTCTCTCAGGACCAAATATGACCAATGACTTATTAGGTGTTCTGTTGAGATTCCGCATGAACAAAGTCGCTATCATGGCAGACATTGAGAAAATGTTCTATTCATTCCTCGTAAGAGAAGAAGATAGAGACTTCTTGAGGTTCTTTTGGTATAAGAACAATGACACAGAGGAAGATTTAATGGAGTATCGGATGAAGGTTCACGTGTTTGGAAACACACCATCCCCAGCCGTCGCAACCTACGGTCTAAGAAAAACTGTAGAAGATCAGGACGAAGATGTAAGAAAATATGTGATCAGGAATTTCTACGTGGACGACGGACTTATCTCCTTACCTACAAGTGCCGAAGCTATTGACCTTTTAAGGAGAACTCAAAGTGCATTAAAGAAAGCTAACATTAGACTGCATAAGATCGTATCCAATGATGTGGAAGTCATGGAAGCTTTCCCGTCAGAGGACTTGGAAAAGAACTTAATGGCACTGGACATCGGATCAGACGACTTACCTGTCCAGCAAAGTCTAGGTCTGGCATGGGATATAAATGCGGACAGCTTCACCTACAACACACACATTCCAGTAAAACCATTCACAAAGAGAGGACTGCTTTCTGTCATCAACAGCTTGTTTGATCCTCTTGGCTTCATTGCGCCCATTGTGATACATGGCAGGATCCTGTACAGAGAGATGGGTGAGCATAACAGCAGCTGGGATGATCCGCTTCCTGAAGGTCGGGAGAAAGAGTGGCTAGAATGGAAAGACTCCCTTCACAGTCTAGAAGGTTTACACATTCCGAGAATGTTCACTCCACTTTCCTTAAGCTGTGCTGATTTGAAGGAATTACATGTCTTTTCTGACGCTTCTGAGAAGGCGATATCAGCTGTGGTATACTTGCGAACGGTAAGCAGTTCAGGTGACATTCAGGTTGGATTCGTCATCGGAAAGTCGAAGATAGCTCCACTTCAGTCCACAACAATTCCACGTCTTGAACTATGTGCAGCTGTTTTAGGCACAGAATTAGCCCAGATTGTGATTAGACACTTAGATATTGACCCAGATTCTGCTAATTACTATACAGACAGCAAAGTGGTGCTAGGGTACCTGAACAATCAGACTCGCAGATTCTATAACTACGTCTCTAATCGGGTTAGTGTCATACACAGAAGATCTAAACCTCAGCAGTGGAGTTTTGTACCAACTTCACAAAATCCAGCAGACATAGGAACTAGATGTTTGACATCTGTGGAGCAGCTAGCTGAGAGTGATTGGCTTCGAGGACTGCCTCTACTAAGGTCTCCTCAACCCGATGAAGAAATGCTTACCTTTCCATTGATTTCTCCGGACATGGACAAAGAGATACGCCCAGAAGTCAGTGTGAAGAAAACTGAAATACACACACCATTGGTGACACGATTTGAACACTTCTCCACTTGGAAAAGTTTAGTTCGAGCCATTACAAATCTGAAGAAAATCTGCAAGTTGAGAAAAGGAAACATCAACTTACCATCACAAAGTGTCAAGGACACTCAGGAAGTAGAACTTTTCATCATACGGACAGTCCAAGCTTTCTTCTATGAGGAAGAAATCAAACTGATCAGAGACAATAAATCGTTGCCCTCATCGAGCAGCATCTTGAATTTACATCCGTTCATAGATGACCAGGACATCTTGCGTGTTGGGGGACGTCTCAACCAAGCTCCTTTATCCTTTGATGAGAAGAATCCCATCATCTTGCCCGCAAAGTCTCATGTTGCAAAACTTATTGTGACTCATTTACATGAGAAAGTGTACCACCAAGGGAGGCTTATTACAGAGGGCAAAGTGAGATCAAGTGGTTTTTGGATTGTTGGATGCAAGAAACTGGTCAATTCTATCATACACAAGTGTGTTGTGTGTAAGAAACTTAGAGGGAAGTTGGAGTGTCAGCGCATGAGTGACTTACCTGCAGACCGGGTCACACCAGGACCACCTTTCTCTGCCATAGGAGTCGATGTTTTTGGCCCGTGGTCTGTAGTCGCACGCAAGACTAGAGGAGGATTATCACACAGCAAGAGATGGGCTGTTCTCTTTTCCTGCCTAACTTCGAGAGCTATCCACATAGAGGTGATAGGAGAGATGAGTGCCTCATCATTCATAAACGCATTACGACGTTTTGTTTCCTTGCGTGGTCCGGTCAAGGAAATACGGTCTGATAGAGGGACTAACTTTGTAGGTGCTCTAGACGTCATTCAGGCAGAGGCAATATATACAGAAAAGGGACCACTTAAAGATTACCTGCATGACAACAAAATAACATGGACATTCAACCCACCCCATGCTTCGCACAGAGGAGGTTCTTGGGAGCGAATGATCGGGATCTCTAGGAAGATACTTGATTCCATGTTACTTAACCCTACTGTGAAGCAGTTATCCCATGAAGTACTGTGTACTTTCATGTGTGAGGTGTGCGCTATTGTGAACTCTAGACCAATCTGTTCTGTGTCGTGTGATCCTGACAATCCGTACGTCATTAGTCCGTCAATGCTACTTACCCAGAAAAGTTTCCCTGACATTCTTCTGAAAGATTCATCAGACATCAAGGAAATATATAAAGCGCAGTGGAAACATGTGCAACATCTTTCTGATACTTTCTGGAAGAGATGGAAGGATGGATATTTGCAACATCTCCAGCGTAGGACAAAGTGGCAGTCTGAACATCTGGACATAAAAGTAGGGGATGTGGTACTGTTACGTGAAAAGGAGTTACACCGTGGACAGTGGCCTATGGGTCTAATCGTTCAAGTTTTCAAGAGTGATAGTGACCAGAAAGTGAGAACTGTTCAAGTTCGTGTTGTCAGAGATGGCAAGGACACTACATACATTAGACCAATTACAGAGTTGGTACTGTTAATTGATTGACTTGAACTGAATTGTTCATTCTTACAGTCATCTATGATGTAACTTGATATTTGTTTGTTTTTTTTTTTTTTTTATGTGTTGTATGTTTGAGTTAAGTAATATCCTTAGGATATTAGGCGGGGAGTGTGATGTTTTACGAAACATTTTACGTACGACTTACTTTTGTTTTTGTAATGTCGGCAAGAGCAGAGCACGTTGTCTCACTTCATTTGCAGTGATTAATGCAGTTCCATAGTGTAAGTTGTTTACTTTAATGCTTTAATTGTGTAAACTTATGAAATAGATTGTTATTCTAGGGTGCATAGGAATGCATACTGTGTTAAGATGCACAATTTCTTGATTTGTCGGTTGGCTGACATGACCTATTTTCTGCATAGTGCGCAGATTTGTGTATTGCGATGTTTGCAATTGAAATGTTGTATATGCATACAATATCACACTATATTATGTCGATATGAATCGAATCCATCTTTTTCTATGTAATTGATGTGAAATCAAGCTTTATTTGTGTAGTAATTGAACGAAACATGATACACGTGGTTGCTAATTGATTTTAAAAGTATGGAAGCCAGTTGTGATCTTTATTGCATAAGATATTAGAAAACTATGGAAACACATTATGGTCATAATTGAAAATCCTGAATTATCTTGTCATTATTATTACAGTTTATTGGTTAATTGTAAACTGATTGTTTGTTTTGTTTTGATTTTAGCTTTTTACTAATAAAGAAATGGGATACAGTGTGTTCTAGTGAATTCGTCCCATAACACCCCCTGAACATTATTATTATCCAATCCTGGTTGATTCCCTGTAGAACTTAAATATAAATACTAGATAACTATAATTAATTTTTTAGTATTCATAACCATGATCTTTTAAACTATTTTTTTCACTATATTCTCAGATATCTACCTTGTCTCTTATCTAAAATTCATTAAATAGCATTGATTTGTGGGTGAACTCGGAAAAAAATATGTGTTTGTACATACTGATACCCCATATGCCAGCTTATGGTTAAAGTTTCCCTAGTGCAAGTCAAACTCCAAGGTCAAGGTCAAAGGTCAAAATTGTTGACATCCAAGGAAGGACTTGTCACAAAGAATAAATCTGTGAAATATGAAAGCCCTACTACTATCAGCTTAAAAGTTATGATCAAAGTTTAAGTTTTTTAACACTGGGTTAAACTAGAATTTCAAGGTCAAATATTTTAATTTATACCCATTGAAAGGTCTTGTCACAGTAAATATACAAGTGAAGTATGAAAGCCCTTGCACCAACTGTTCAAAAGTTAAGGCCAAGATTCAAGTTATGAAACTTTCATAAAAGTGAGTCATTCTCCAAGTTCAATTCAAAAGGTTAATTTGATGTACCAGTACACAAGTATTGTCACAATGAATAACCAGGTCTGTGAAATATGAAGGCCATACTTTTACCCACTAAAATGATACGGCCAATGTGAAAAGATTTTGCAGACAGACAGACAGGGTAAAAGCTATATAGATGACATGTACCCCAGAATCTTTGATTACAGGAGTATAAAACTTATTCCTCATTGTCGTGAACTTAGTCTTTTTGCTTTCAACTTTGGAGCATTATATAGATTTTCAATTAATCAACGCATTTTCACTTTATGATTAATTAATAAAGCTGCGCCTTTACATCTGATCCACTACACTGGGGCAATATGAATTTCATAGTTTTAGTAGGACTCAATGCTTATTAAAATTTTGCTCACAATTTGCTTGATGTTCAATTAAAACTAGAAATATGTCTATAGGACATGAATGCCCCGCCGAGGATGTATAAGTAAAGCAACATGAAAATTTGTATGTGTATAAAATTTGATCAGAATATCTTGAATAGTGATGCAGCTGAAATGCTTGTTTGGAAAATATAGGTCAGATCAAGCATCCGAAGCAAGTCTGGTAGTGTCCATCCCTAGATGCATCATCAATGCAAGTTTGGTTTGGGCAGGACTTATAGATACTTGGGAATGAAAATATAGGTCAGATCCAGCATCTGAAGCAAGTCTAGTAGTGTCCATCCCTAGATGCATCATCCATGCAAGTTTGGTTCAAGTAGGACTTATAGTTACTTGGGAATGAAAATATAGGTCAGATCCAGCATTCGAAGCAAGTCTGGTAGTGTCCATCCCTAGATGCATCATCCATGCAAGTTTGGTTCAGCAGGGCTTATAGTTACTTGGGAATGAAAATATAGGTCACATCCAGCATCTGAAGCAAGTCTGGTAGTGTTCATCCCTAGATGCATCATCCATGCAAGTTTGGTTCAGGCAGGGCTTATAGTTTCTTGGGAATGAAAATATAGGTCAGATCCAGAATCCGAAGCAAGTCTGGTAGTGTCCATCCCTAGATGCATCATCCATGCAAGTTTGGTTTGGGCTGGACTTATAGTTACTTGGGAATGAAAATAAAGGTCAGATCCAGCATCCGTTTCAAGTCTGGTAGTGACCATCACTAGATGCATCATTCATGCAAGTTTGGTTCAGGTAGGACTTATAGTTACTTAGGAATGAAAATAAAGGTCAGATCCATCATCCTAAGCAAGTCTGGAAGTGTCCATATCTAGATGCATCATCCATGCAAGTTTGGTTCAGGTAGGGCTTATAGTTACTTGGGAATGAAAATATAGGTCAGATCCAGCATCCAAAGCAAGTCTGGTAGTGTCCATCCCTAGATGTATCATCCATGCAAGTTTGGTTCAGGCAGGGCTTATACAGTGCTGCTATCCCACAAGTTGACATGGGATGGGATCGGATAGGATTCGGGATTGAGGATTCACGATAGAAACATATAGAAGTTAATCCAATCCTATCCTATCCTATCCTATCCTGTATCCTACAGCCAATCAGATTCGAGCAAAGGTTCATTCATATTTCAGAATAAATAACAAAAACGAAATACGATATATAATGTTTACAAAAGAAATATTTATAAAATTTCAATAGAAAATAAAACATTCTTTTCTCTAAACACAGATTTACATTATAAACTTCGAGTAACACGGCGTACGATCTAGCCGTGAACGATCACCGGAAGCATTTAGGTATGTAAACAACGAGGAGCCAAGGCATCGAAAGACCGTATTTCTTCAGCTTGCTTGGATGATTTAACCGATTCTTACTTGTTTAAAAGTGTTCTAACATGTTTTCTGTTAAATATGCTGTGTTTGTTTGGATAATTCCACAGGAACCGTCAACAGCGGACTTGAATAGATGATGTGCGAGTTCATGTAAGTATACTACACACTGTACTGTACACTGTACATGTTTGCAGTTTTATACTTATTTATCCCTCTAAACAATGTTGTCGTGTCTTAAAATATAAACATTTTATTCTATTTAATATAAACAAAAAATAGGTGCGGAAAAAAGAAGTAGTGTAGACAGAAGGGGGGATAAAATATTTACAAATACCCCCATTACTCTGTCATATGATTCAATTAGCTATCAATGAGCTCTAAGACTAAAACAATCATATGTATTATGCCTTAATCAGTTTACTAATCTTATTATTTCCTTAATTCTTTCATTTCAGTGTAACTTATAATGAATTAATGTAGAATCATCATGACCATTTCTACATGTTCTAATGCTACTGCTGAAATGTTTAATAAGCTCACTCAGCAGTGCACTTACATATTGTACATGTATGTATGATGTATTGTGAGTTATGAAACATAAGTTAATCTTTTAATATTCATCATTACAGTGATGGATTTGCCTGCACTCATGCGTCATCACGGTATAAAGGATTTTAATCTAAAAAGTATGTATGATTTTATTTTTATCATGTATTTTTTAATGGTCATTCAACTACATAAACATCATTAGCTGCTTTGAGGTGACATGTCTGCAGTTTCTCGGAACAAGTGATTTTCTTCTTTCAAAAATCTTGAGAGTTAAACTGAAAGAAATGTTGAATTTTTCTGGTCATCATGTTGCTGTTACATAGATATTTTCTTCTTCTTTTACATATTCAAATTTCAAGACCAAAAAAAAAAAAAAAAAAAAGAAAGCCAAGAAAAAACATTAAATAGATAAATACAAAGAGAAAATAGAGAAAAGTCACTAAAACAAATGTATTCATACTTGTTAGCAAGTTGACAAGATAAAATGAATTATAATGTACAAGTAAATTATCTAAAATAAATTTTTTTTCTTAATTTTATATGACTGAGGTTGCAGTATAAGATTTTATTTTTCATGATTTCTAAATGCATTATTTTTTTAGAGAAAAAGGTGAAATGAAAGCCAATTGTACATGAAATGTGAAAGATAATCACAATCAAAAACATTTTAAATTTGTATGAAATGTGTATGACAAAATTTACAATCTACATGTCTATAATTATGTGATTTTTTTTTTCAGGAAACCCTGCAGATTTGCAGCTGTGCAGAATGCAGTTCATGCCATATGCTGTTAGAGTAAATGATGAAAGATGTTCAAACCAGTGTCAAAGATTCCTAAGACTGAAATCATAGTGCTTTTATTAAGGAGATCAGTGTATGTTTTCTGTGCATTGTTGACATTTGTGGAACTGTTCAGTTTATGACCATCTCTCTGACAATAACTCTGACATTTGAATTTCAATTTGAGCGTCGAATAAGAAAGTCAAATTAAATGCATGTAAAACATTATACTACGGTAATAAAAACATTGATAAACTTAAATTTAAACAAAGTTCATGTACATGTATCTGTGATATTTGAATTAAAATTCATAAATGCTGTACATGGATACTTTTAATGACTTTGTCTCATGGTAATGGAATATTCAATTGTTAAACATTGTTGAGGAATCACCTTGAATAAAAATGTTGTGTACTTGATAAAGTTTTTTTTCTCATTTAAACACTGATAATTTTAAGATCAAATGTCAAGGACAAATAAAAGGTTTACTCAAGAATGTGTTATACATACTGTGAATTCTTATGCATGTTTATAAGATCTAAGAAACATGTGTGAAGCATTTTAATATTTTTCAATTAGACACTGATTAAGATTCAACATCCAATGCCAAGGTCAAATACAAACTTGCTTTACTCAAGAATGAGTTATAAATACTGTGAATTCTGAATTTCCCTTGCATGTTTTATAAGATCTTAGGAACATGTGTGACCTCACTACAATATTTATTAATATTATACTTTCATGTAAATTACTTGAATCTGATTCGTCGAGAAACATTTGATAAAAAACACTACTACCCGCTGAATAATGAAGCCATGCCCTCCTGCGTAGCAACAGTCAACATTGCTTGACGACGGGTGGTATTACAAAAAATAGTGACTGCTTGGAATTTATGCATGCACGGTTCACTGTAATATGTATTTGTATAAAACATTCAGTATAATATAATAAATATTGCATGTAGTTGAGTGTAACATTAAAGATTTTCAACCCTCGAAAACCATTGTAAACCTCGGCTGCGCCTCGGTTAACAATGGTTTTCTTGGGGTGAAAATTTTCAATGTTACGCTCAACTACATGCAATATTTATCATATTTATATAGTGTCAATCTGTCAACCAATATCAAATTTAGAAAATATATTCTATTAAACATAAATTATTAAATTTTCACACATAAATCAAAATAGGAAATTGAAATACATTTACAAGTACGGCACTGAGCTGACCATAAACTGAGAAGAAACTGAAGTTAAATGAAAAAAACAAACATTTCGATCATCTTGAATTTTATTTAGCAACTATATATTTTGCATGTTTGAAAAATATCACATACGACAGATGATGAACTGAAATTTAAAAAAAAAGAATAAATTATGAATTTAAATAAAAAAATCATACATTTAATATTTGATATTATAAGACAATTTCACATTTAAAATGTTTAATATGTGAAAATCAAAATATTCTAGATCTACATTTTGAGTTTGTCTGTTTGGTTTATGGTCTAGTCAGATCTTCTTTTTGAGAATTGCATACAGAAAAAAACGCTATTATGTAGGCACAGTTAGACTATAGATACATGTACCGGTACATGCATGTTATTTTCATGGTGCTCAGTTTAGAAAAAAATATATACTTCAACATTTTTACCGTATAGGCCTATGATTTTTATTAAAAATAATTAATTAAAATGCCTCGGAAGCAAGTCGCGATCCCGGGTCTCCCGATCATTGTTAGTAGGAAAATTAAAACACTAAGTATATTTTTTTTCTCTAATTCTTCTGGCTGCCCAATTTCTTTACATATGTTCGCAAAATCAGTACTTGTCCACGTGTAATTACGACCTGTTTGTTAACATTTATTTTTAACATGGCAATGATAATCGTAAATTTAATTTGTGCGGCGAGTCAGGAATTATGGAATGCCGATCTCGATTATTTTTTTTTCCATTAAAATTTATAACATTTAAATGAATACCATAACTATGTCTGATTTTTTTCCTGGTAATTCCTTTTTTTTCATTTTGTCAAATTAATTCCTAAATATTAAAAAACTGAGAGTTGCAGGATAGGATAGGATAGGATTAGACTGAAATCATAGGATAGGATTGTGGATGCAGGATTCACGATAGGATAGGATAGAATTGTCAACTTATAGGATAGCAGCACTGTAGTTACACTGTACTTGGGAATGAAAATATAGGTCAGATCCAGCATCCGAAGCAAGTCCGGTAGTGTCCATCCCTAGATGCATCATCCATGCAAGTTTGATTCGGGCAGGTCTTATAGTTACTTGGGAATGAAAATATAGGTCAAATCCAGCATCAAAAACAAGTCTGGTAGTGTCCATCCCTAGATGCATCATCCATGCAAGTTTGGATCAGGTAGGGCTTATAGTTTCTTTGGAATGGAAATGTAGGTCAGATCCAGCATCCGAAGGAAGCAAGTCTGGTAGTGTCCATCCTTAGATGCATCACCCATGCAAGTTTGCTCCAAGTAGGGCTTATAATTCCTTAGGAATGGACCTGCTCCAAAAACGTAAATCTGGTCACTCATCTGGAAAATGTAGGTCAGATCCAGCATTCGAAGCAAGTCTGGTAGTGTTCATCCCGAGATGAATCATACATGCAAGTTTGTATCTACATGTGAAGTTTGATAAATCCATTTTGAATGGTATGTTTAAAACTGAGCTAACACTAATTTAACAAAAGTGAGGTCAAGGTCAAAGGAAAGGTCAAGGTAAAAAAAATGTTGATGCAGTTGCATAGCTCTCATCAATATCTATCAGCATATGAAGTTTGTTGAAAATATCTTGGATGGTTTCTTTGAAACTTAGCTTTGAGCAGAGCTAAACACAAAGTGTGACGGAAGGACAGAAGGACGGACGGACGGAAGGACGGAAGACGGACATTACAAACACTATATGCCCTGGCCATATTCATGGCGGGGCATAAAAATACAATTTTGAATATTTTTGATGGATTAACTCCCCCCTTAGGTTGGGTGGTGGTGGTGGGGGGGGGGAGAGAAGGCTGTAAATGCTAAAATTTTTACCAATCAGAGTACAGTGTATGACTATGGACAACAAGAAACCCAAGGGCCTTGAATCGCTCTTTTGATAAATTGTACAATCTATCACTAGTATTTGAAGCCTCTTAGTTTATAAGACCCAAAATACATCAACCAAGAAAGTTTGATGATTCTTAGCCAGATCGGACTGAAGATATTTCAATAGAACTATAAAATACCATAAGTACGTCATGGTGACCTACTTTTTGGTCGACATTCTGCAAAAACCCAGGATGCCTCAACTGACAAAGTTAAACAATTCTAGGCCAATTAATATAAAGTTCTTTTGGTTTTATTTTCCTGATTATCTCCCCTTGTACAAGGATCCAAACCCTAGTATAAATGGTAGCCCTTGGGCCAAGGATGCCCTGTGACAAATTTGACAATGATTGTCCAAGGGGATCTTGAGTTATGGCCCACATTTTAAAAAGTTTATGCACACTGCACAAATGGCCATAGCATTAGCTCTTTGAGCCTTTGGCTTAGAAGAGCTAAAACAGTATACATGTACACCTATTTACTGGCTATGAGGACAATAGCTAGTTTATCTTCCCCCAAGACAGCAACCATTCCCCAAGATGCAGCCAAGGGAAATAGTTTGCTGTCGAGGGAGATGATAAACAAGCTATTTTCCGGATAGTAAGTAAATTGGTGTTTTATTATGGCACCTGATCCCACCTCTGATGTTTCGGGGGTCCGTGTTTGCTCTGCTCTTATTTTGTATTGTTTTATGGTTTTTGTGATTGAATACTGTTCGTTATCTCCATATCCTTCTATTATACTGAAGCTGACTTAGCTTATATGTAAGGTCCGATCTGGATAAAACCAGAAGAGTTACGAAATGAAAAATTGACTTACCTTCTGCATTAATCTTTAGCTTGGCAAGGGCCAATCTGTTTTTGTGTGTGTTCCAAGTGTATACTTTTTGTCCTTGAGGTTAAAAAAAATATATGTAAAAAAAAATAGACGACTTTCACATTAAATTTTACAAAAGTTATTCTCCTTTGCGGGGTCAATCCGGCGTAAGGCCCCGTTTTCCTTCTGTAAACTTACCAAATTTATTGGTCAGTATCTAAAAATAAATTCTGTAATGAATATGTTCATTAATTAAGATTTTCATGTTGCCCCAAACTTTGGCAATACAGGTACAGATCTAAATTGTCAAATAAAGTTTGAAGATTGAAAATAATAACAGGTAACTTACAAAGTGGGAAAAATGAGAGTTACGCCAACAAGAGGAGATAACTCTTAGTAGTATGAAATTCGTCAAACTCAATTGCATTTCAAATTTTACATGAAAAGTTTCAACTTCAAGTTACATGTAGTATTTGCAAGTCTAAAAGCAATATGATCAGAAAATCTTATTCCTTTTTAAAAGTATTACCATATTCAAGATTATACTGGTTAAACTTTGAGAATCTGTTTTTAAGTCCATTCTAGGCATTTAGGTGTTAACAAAGAAGAGCCTCAGTCACCATCCTGGAATGCATATCTAAAATTACATAAAAATTCACAATCTCAAACACAATTTATATTCATAAGGATGAAAAAAGGCAGATATGTAAAAATAAAACTGTTACACCATTATGGCCTTAAAGATAATAATTTCCTTTACCATGTAATGTGATGTTTTAAATACTGTAAAAAGAAATAAATTCAGTGAGTGGAACTTTACATAAACTTGTTGTTGTTTCTTTTTTTCTTTTTTTTTTGCATTTTATTTTTTTAGGTTAAAAAACATTTTAAATAAATACTTAATTGTTTTTACAGTATTTTAACTTCACCTGCATTTTGATATAACATTTTGATGGATACACCCGGGTGCTGACCAAGACAGCTCACTCCTCAACATGGTCAATATTTTCTGTTTTTGGTAACCCAAGTCTCCATAATACACATAATACTGTAGTATCTGTGCGACTGTCCCGTGGTACGACCTACTGACAAGGTGACGTCAGATGGCGGGACAGTCGCACGGATCTCTTTTTCCATGACGATGGCGAAGAGACAAGACGTGACAGGCAGTCGGTGAGTCTTACCCCCGGGCCAGGACCCACCCCGGATTACAGTTATATATTGTAATATCTCTTAATAAACCGTTTGTACCATTACCTTGGGGTTTACTTAACTGGCGCCCAATTCGCGGGGCCCGGTGCTATAGATTCCCGTACTTCTGTCAAAGTTAGGGGGTTTTTTTGGCCATCACCCCAGCCGCCATTTTTGTTGCTGAATGCGCGGGTGATTTTTGTACTTTTTTTTCCAATCGAATTTTGATTTGAATCAACTGTAATTAATTTGTATCTGCATTTATAGAAAGTGATTATTATTGCTTTGATTTATTTGACATTTACTTCGTGCATTTTCACATTGTATGGATATGTCTTTGGAGGAAGCCGCATCGGCCTTGGGTCTGGGAAGTATCCCGGCGGTCACGCGGGCAAATGTCATTCCTCACACCCCGGGTAGGGTGGGGGGATACCCCAGGGAAGGGGGTTATTCACCTTATGTATATAGCGGGAACTTTACATCCCGTCACACATCTCCATTTGCTCAGTTAATGTCAGGCCGTTTGGGAGGGGGGTTGCCCTGGGGGGGGGGTCCCCCTGAACTTACGCCCGGTCTGAACTCGAGCATTCCCAGGGGGGAGGAGAGTGTGTCATGGAGAGAGGTACGGTTTTCCCAGCCCCAATTTAGCTCACCAGGGATGATGTCCACTGATTCCATGGAGTCCTCTTTAGGTAGCCTGTGTAGGTGTAGCTCACCTGGCAGCACTGTGGGTAGTACCCCACCTAAGTATGAATGCAGTGAGGTTCCTTGGACTTCCGGTATTGAACCGTATTCTTAAGGTCATGTGCGTCCGGCTAGTAGCCAGCCTGTCCTTGTAGGAGACACAGCTAACCTGGGGGGGTCCTGCCACTAGGGGAATCCGACCAAGCCGCTTAAGTGGGGGTGTACACCCCACTCCTGACCCCGCCCTTCCACCCTACACACCATTTGAGGATCGACAGCCTGAGAGGCCCATGTGGCCTGAACCGCTCACCTACAAATGCGATTGGATGAACGAGAGGCCTATGAGGCCTGCACCACTTACCTCCAAACACGACCAACAGTCTCAGAGGCCTATGAGGCCTGAACAGCTCATTTCTGAGTTTGATCCTGTTTGTGCTATAGAGCTCACCTGGAACCCTACGACTGCACAGACTCAGCCTAAACCTGCAGACTTTAGTGTGCCCTTTCTCCCCGGGGATGATTTGCAACCCCGGACCTCCATGTCTCACACAATGCCTGCCCCAGTCCCTATAAATGCCAGAGTGTCCCCTGTGTTGATGCAGTCGGAATCGCCAAGCAACCTAGCCTCGTGGCCTTTGGATACCGGCATGACTGCTGCCAGACACCAGCCTGCATCAGTATACGCAACCTCTACAAGCACACTTTACCAAGTGCCCCCATCTGCTCACATCAACCATGGGGGTGGGCATGCCCAACCCCCAATCCTGGATCCATCCCAGTCTGTGCTGTACCGTGGTGAGAATACCCCGGCCACATCCCCGAGTATACCTTTGCCCAGTGCCTTGCATCACCAGGGTATCCCTGCATCTATACATGTAGCTCCGCCTATACTGACGCCCCACCCTGCCATTTTAGAATGGAGGGGGAGAGAATAGCGCATGTGCAGCCAAACATGTATGATACAGCCCGGCCGGGATACTCTGTCTATCAGACAGTCCCGGCAAACCCAGCCTGTAACTTAAGTGCACTGACGCAGTATGGCTCACCTGGATACCACAGTACCACGCCATACACAGGAAGGTCAGCCTTGGGAAGCAAGCCTAGGTACAAGGACCTCCGGTATGATGACAAAACCAGTTGGAAGGCATTTTTGCACAAATTTATCAGGTTGTCTCGCAGTCAGCTGTGGACTGAGGAAGATCAACACGACCAGTTCTGTTTTTCCCTTGAAGGGGTAGCAAGTAAATATTACACCTTGCTGTTAGAAACGTCTACCCTGCTCCCTCTAGGTGAGATTCTGCAGAGGTTTGAGAAGCGTTTTGGCTCCTCTGCTCCTGATCTGACGCACCAACTCAATTTCCAGTCGGCTAGCCAGAATCCTGGAGAGGCCCTTCGACAGTGGGCAGACCGGGTGCTGACCTTGGCGACCAAGGCCTTCCCGTGTGTTCCCGACGTGCACACTCATGCTATCCCCAAGCTGTGTTATGGAGCCGAGGACAGGGACGCAGGCCTTTATGCCCTTGATGGGCACCCTCGGACTGTGGAGGAAGCTGTAGAGAGGATGCAATACTTCCAGCACTCCCGGTTACACCGGTCTAAGACCAAGAAAGAGGTGCGAAAATTGATCCCAGGTGATGAGCAGGACAATCAGGAGAAAGTGAGTGTCGCTACTGCAGGGGAGGAGCTGTGGAAGCCCTCCGCAGTAGGATGGAAAAGTTGGAGCAAGCTGTTAAGCAGAAAGGATCTGCCCCCCCCCTCTCAAGACCGGAGAGGACGGGTACCCCGCCACCCCGTTCGGCAGAGCGTGACCAGAAACCCCCGGTTTGTTTTAAGGGCCCAGATCAACAGTCGGCTTTTGATGGTTTAAAGGGGCCCTCACATCTCCGCCAGTCTTGGCCCTGCCAATTCCCGAGGGAGAGTTCATACTTGACACTGACGCTTCCAATGAGGCCATAGGGGCAGAGCTCTCACAGATACAGGATGTCCAGGAGAGACCCATATCTTATGGAAGCCTCAGTCTATCCCCAGAGCAGCGCAAATACTGCACGACCCGGAAGGAGCTGTTAGCAGTTATCCGTTTCACTTGACTGTTCCACCATTACTTGCTGGGGAGGAGATTTATTGTCAGGACTGACCCTCATAGCCTTATTTGGTTGTTAAACTTTAGGAACCCGCAAGACAAACTCGCCAGATGGATGGAGGAACTTAGTCAGTACGACATGGAGATTCAGCACCGCCCTGGGTGACGCCGTGTTAATGCAAACGCCCTGTCTAGGTTGCCTTCCAGTGCCCTCTGTGCCGGATCAGATGTCACTATACATCCTAGTTACCTGCCTTGTGGAGGATGCCCAAAATGTGTTAAGGCCCACCAATCTTGGAACGCCTTTGCCGGGGAAGTGGACAATGTTGCACCCTTAGCTAGTCCCGGAAGTTGGACGAAAACGCCCAGTTCGGAGGTGGAAGCTGTAGAGGAGTCAGTTTTAGACCCAGAGGGCAACACCAGTGATTCGCCCTCTCCTCCTGGACCAGCACAGCCTTCTGTTAGTGAGGTGGCCTTCGGTTATGTTTCTGGGGAATTGCTGGGTCGTATTGGTCGCTTTGTTCCCCCAGAGGTGGACTTCGATGATGATGAGTCAGTGGATGGCCCCCTCCGGACCCAGGTTCGTCTCACGAGACATCCCCACTTTGTGGCAGTAGTAGGCATACCCCCAGAGGATTCAGGTGGTTCTTTGTCGTTAGTGGGTCTGACACCAGAGGAAATGAGCTTATGCCAGTTAAAGGACTCAGAGATCAGTCAGTTTCTTAATTGGGTAGAGGGTGATGCAGATCCAGAGGAGGGAGTGATTTTCCTAGCGAGCCCAGCAGTGAAGAACTATTGGCTGAATAGGGCGACCTTCCCCTTAGACCAGGACAAAGTCCTTTGGAAGGAGGTTGGGGAGGGGAATGTAAAGAATAGACTATTAGTCGTCCCCTAGGAGCTGAGGAAAGAGGTGCTACGCCTGTGCCATGATGTCCCAGCAGCTGGCCACCAGGGCATTGATAGAACCAAGGCTCGCTTGCGGTATAGATATTTCTGGTACGGTATGATGAGGGAGGCCGAACAGTTTGTGAGCACTTGTGGTCCGTGCAGTAGAAATAAGCACCCCCAGCGCCATGCAAGTGCAGAGATGATTAAGTACCACGCAGGTTCTCCTATGGAGAGAGTCCATCTTAATTTTCTGGGGCCCTTGCCCCGGACCAAACAGGGTAATGAGTATGTCCTTGTCATGGTGGACCAGTTCACCAAATGGGTGGAATGTATCCCCCTGCCAACCCAGACTGCAGAGGTCACTGCAACTGCAGCGGTTGACGGATTCTTTGCTCGCTTTGGCTGCCCCTTTCAGATCTTCACGGACCAGGGTAGGAACTTTGAGAGTAAGCTCTTCACCGCAGTGTGCGACCTGTTGCAGATCCATTAGGCCCGTACTACCCCTTATCGTCCCTCGGCTAATGGCCAGGTAGAAAGGTATAACAGAACCTTGATGGATGCTGAGCGCTGTTACATAGACAAGGCTCAGAACTGCTGGGATGAATACCTTGCCCAGATAGCAGGTGCTTTGCGCTCAGCTGTTAACAGGAACACCGGATTTACGGCCAACAAGCTTATGTTGGGCAGGGAGGTGAATATTCCTGCTGACCTGATGTTTGCACCACCCCAGAAGGATCCAACAGTTGACCTTGAGGGCTATGTGGTCAATCTTGAGTCTATCCAATCAGCTCATGAGACAGCCAGGCGTCGTCTCCAGACCTCTGAGGAGTGTATGAAGAGATATTATGACCTCAGGCTTTCTGCTCGCTCTTATTACGAGGGAGATCTGGTTTATGTCCTTGACACAGCCACTGTAAAGGGGAAGTGCAGAAAGTTGAGCCCCTCATGGAGGGGACAAGGTATCCCGGTATCAAGAGAAATTCAGAGCCCAGTCCCAGGAAGGTAGTGATGTGAGTGGTGTCCCATTGCTAGAGGGGGATGCTCCCTTGAGTGAGGCCACTGGGCCTTCCTACCCGAGTTCGTCCTCCGACAGCCCTCCCCGTGCACCGAGAAAACGGGGGCGCCCGCGCAAGGTAAGGTCGCCCTCCTCCGAGTCCGCCAAGTCATCAAATGGGGAGCTAACTGACTCGGAACTGTACTGTTTCTGTCGTAAACCAGATGATGGGGGACTCATGATCCAGTGTGATCAGTGTGACAGTTGGTTTCATGGAGTTTGTGTGGGGGTTACTTCCAAGGAGGCTTCCTCACTGGATCAGTATACATGCCAAGATTGTATGGGGGGGGGGGGTGGGCAGGGTAGCTAATGTGGGGTCTGCTTTCTTTTGTAGTTCACCACTGGAAGGTCAGTTTTCTGACCTGTCATCCGACGAAGCAGAGTCGCTTGTAAGAGGCTGGAGGAGGGAGCGTTCTCCCTCCCAGTACAACCAAAGGGTCCCAGAATGGGAGATGAGGTCCCCCGAGTCGTCCCCTGAGAGGAGGGTACCCTCACCCCCGGAGCGCCAGGAGTGTCCAGAACCGGTGTTCCAGCCATATCCTAGAGACACCCCTTGGCCCACATCGCCACCACCATCCGGAGGGCCCGATGGATCCTACTGGGCCCCGGACAGGCCTCCCGGACCCCAACCTACTTCCCGTAGGAACAGAGATAGAGGAGCTAGGGGGGAGCATCCTCCCTCTCCCTGCCCCCTTCTGTGTGGGGCAATGACGAGGAAGCTGAGGGACATCATGTTGCGGCATCACCTCCCCGCCATATTTCGACGCGGGGTACCCCCTACCCCGGAAGTCTCCGCCCTTCGTATGGATGCCCTCAGATGGTTAGCCCGCCAAGTCCTGGGTGAAGATGGGGATGTTCAAACCCTGGCGGATGGTATCCGAGGGGAGGCAGTCTTCCCAGATAGGAACAGCCTCGCCACACAGGACCTCGTTCAGGCCATGGATGCTCTATGTGGTTACGTTGGGGATTCCCCCCCCCCCCCCGGCAGCGTACATTGTGACTACATCCCGCCCTTCTGCTGCACTGGAGAGCCCATGCCCACGTTTTGCAGCGCCTGTCTCCCCGGCTCCGATGGGCATACCTTACCGCCTTTAACGGGTGCAGGATCAGAAGTTGGCGTGTGATTAGCTTTGGCATGAGTTTGCCCCCCGGTGTTCCCGGAGGACCCTCCGACAGATGCGTGTGGCGTCAGCCCATTTTCTCAGCAGCTCTTGTTCCTGTCCGCCGCCTTGAGGATGATCCCCAGGAGGACACAGACAGCGAGGAAGCCTCCTCCATTGAAGAGATTCCCCGTCCTGAGGAAGACTCTGCCCCCGGCCGACCTCCACCTGGAACCATCACTGGGGGCATTATTACGGCGGAGATGCCGTGGCCTGGGGCTAGGAGGGTGACCTTTGCCGTGGTGCTGGAGTGGTGAGCAGGTTAGCGACTTGGACTCACCCCAGTATTCAGAATTCTCAGTATCCGGGAATTATCCCGGGCTTAGGGCTTTGCGTGCAACTGGGAGCAATCCAGGACACCCTTTACTCAGGAATCCTCCTGAGTTTGCATTATCTGGGGCTTGCCCCGGTCTTTAATGTTCCTGGGCCTGTCCGGGCGGGCGTTAATAGCGCGCCATCGCTGGAGATGGTACCGGACCCTCCCCCCAGTGAGGACCTACGCCTATTAAGAAAACGGGGGGAGTGTAGTATCTGTGCGACTGTCCCGTGGTACGACCTACCGACAAGGTGACGTCAGATGGCGGGACAGTCGCACGGATCTCTTTTTCCATGACGATGGCGAAGAGACAAGACGTGACACGCAGTCGGTGAGTCTTACCCCCGGGCCAGGACCCAGCCCGGCTTACAGTTATATATTGTAATATCTGTTAATAAACTGTTTGTACCATTACCTTGGGGTTTACTTTAATACACTGAAAAAAAACCACCCCCTTAGTTTACATGCAACACACAGTCATAAGGGAATTAAATAATTGTTGATTTTATGCATTTCTTACCGTTAGTAGGCCCTAGAACTTGCAGACGTCAGACTTCTCTTTCCAATGACGTCACTGGTAACGTACATGTAATACATAAATGGAGGCTGGAAAATTCCGGAAGGTATATTTTATAAGTTTTATACGGACGGTACGCACTGTGTATTTGATAATTATCTAGGTGAATCATTTACTCCTTTTTGAGATTTGTTGTGAAATTATCATGAATTTCTTTCTTTTTTTTTTAATTTAGCTTTGCTCTTGAATTCAGATTGATTATATCTATCGATGACCGAGTTCAATTTATTTTGCCTCTACAGATATCCGATACACATGACGAGATTGGAGAACTTTTAATGTAAACTTTGTTTACTGTTTTTAGAATAAATTTTAAACCAATGCGAACTGATAACTTCATGCCAGACATGAACGTGGACGTAAGGTAAACAATGTGAAATAAATTGAAATATTAAATGTGCAAAACACACACGACAAGTCAACAACGCACACACATGTGAGCTTCAGACGTTCAGTTGCGATTGGGTTTATCCAAATATCATAATAATGTTTATTTCAAAAAAAGACATTTTAGATTTAAGGATCTAAGGACCCGTTATACATATCACTATGATTGCTCTTCTTATTGATTGTTATGTTAAATAATATCTTGATTAGTTCACCAAAATCACTTGAACTATTAAGGAAAAATAGTTGTGGAAATCAGCCATATATACTTTTATACAAAAAGTTCAAGTATTTTAAACAAATTATGTAGTCCCTAGCAACAATAAATGTTTAACGCATAGTTTTTTTTCCTCTTTATAGCGAAAACTAAATGATAATTTGATAAATAAATTAAATTTGAAATAAAATAAAAAGGATAAGATTTATAGTCAACCTACCTTTATCATACATAAAAGTAATAGTATGAATTTACAAAATATACAGCCTTCTCATTCTCAAACATAGCTATTCACACACATGTAAAACACCTTTTTAAATGTATATGTAACATGTGCCTGATAATACAACTACTATATTCATCAACATATACTGTAAATTGTTTTAATTCCAGTGTTAAAATTTCACAATATCTCAAAAAGTACCATTGACAATGGTTTTAATTTCACGCTGCAAGAAATTAATTTAAAACTTCCTATAAGCAATTTAACATAATTAAAAACTAATAATAACATTCACGGTGGGGTTAATTTCACGAAAAATTAATAAATCACAAATATAGCAAAATTAAAACCATTGTGAATATTTGCCAATCTACAATATGTAATGAGAGCTTTATAATACAAGTTATCCATTTTATTTAATATGTACATTTGTATATTTAATGTGTTGTTTATAATACACATAAACTACACATGACATTTGTGCTTTATAAAACACATGTAAACCATGAGTTAATTAACGTACGTGTAACATGTGGTTGACTATACACATGTAAACCATGTGTTAATTAACGTACGTGTAACATATGGTTGACAATACACATGTAAACCGTACGTTTATTAACGCACGTGTAAAGTATGGTTGCACATAACATATGTTACACGTACGTTTCACGTATGTAACACATACGTGTATTCCAAACATACGTTTAACGTACGTTATGTGAAACGTATGTAGTCACACATATGTTATACGTACGTTTTACCACATACGTGAAACGTATGTTTGTAATACACGTATGTGATACGTACATTTCACATACGTGATACATGTGTTATGTGCAACAATATGTAACACGTACGTGGCACAATACGTAATATCGCGATTACCTCGCAGTTATATAACTTACTACCGTTCTTTTGCGGGGGAGTCGAGAAAGCTCAAATCTCACGAGATTACCGGGGCAAATGGCATTGTTTACAGTAGTGACAATCGAATGATTTGAATAATTTTATGCCGAAAGTACAATGTATTGCCAAGAATTGAATTCCAAATAATAGATTGTCAAATAAGGAAAGTTTTAATTATTTTACCAGCTTTAAAATGCCACGATTTTCAATGAAAAATTAATGAGAAGAGCCCGCTTAGTCAAATATATTGTAAAAAATGTAATATTTAAGGATTAGCTCCACTCAAAAATTAATTAGGCTGGTTCAGCGATTGTTAAGGAAGGTATTCCACCAGGATTTTTTACTTATCTGTCCTTATAAATTCTACAATGATCGATCTTGCATTGTTTTCAATATCACATTTGTCCCCAGCCAACAGACGTTCCCTACCTCCATCGCGAAAATGTTCCACTAAGTTAAGTACTGTAAACCAACTTTTATTCGCGACGACTTTATTTCGCGATTTAGCAGGGATTAACTTGTTCGCGACGATTAATTTTCGCGATCAAGCCGTTTTGCATCTGTTTTTAATAGACAAATATACTATAAGGACCGGTTCGCGGCGAGAAATATTCGCGATGACGAGGCTCTCGCGAACTTCGCGAAAATTTCTCGCACGCGAATAAAAGTTGGTTTACAGTAATCGCGATATCAAGTATTAGCTGTGTATGCAGTGACTTGACGTCATATTCTATTATGACGTCATATCTAGGTAGTTCGAAGAAGTAACTACAGTCTGAACAATTGATATTTTACGGACAGCCTTATCCTAGCTGCGTTGTCAACAATGGCATTGTAGCCACTGTATGATTGATACAATAACCTTGTAATCATCTGCACTCGATCGTTGAGTCTAATGCCGATCCGTTTTTTCATACTGATTGTTACATGTAGGCCAATATTTATCACTGATTTGACGACAGATTTTCCCGTTATTTCCTGCTCGTGATAAGGAGCACACGGTCGGCAGGGGATGTTCACTCTGCCATGGTACCTGATGCAACCTTTGATATTTTAGAGGTCCGTGTTTGCTCCTATATACTGATGCTGAAAGTCATGTTGGTTTTCTGTGTTTTAAAACACAAAAAATGCAACTTGTCAAAGAATGTTTTCTGCAATGTACATAATGAAAGATCAAAATCATTTCCAAAATATAACAGCTTTGGATTAAACCAAATTGACACTTAAAATTGATTTTTGAAGTACTCCCTATGTATGTCGGTATAGTTTTATTACTTTGTTGCTATTAAATGTAAAGATACTTACAAGTGTCATTATCTTTATCATTTGCACTCGACCGTCTATTCAGTGATTTATTACAGCACACATTGTAAAAAGATCTCGTTATAAAGGAGACGTTTTCAAACCGTTAACTGATTTTCGAACATACTGAAAAAAACATTGTCTTCATAAAGATCTTAATCTTATTTCAAATTAAGATTTGAAAAGCTATACATTTACGTATGATTTGTTTTCCTATGAACAGAAAGATAAAACAATCAAACATCTGCACGGTGTCTATTTTCAGTTACCAAAATTAACAATATTTCTAAATAATCAAAATTAATTCAAATTATTTTTTCCTTTTTTAAATAATTCTAATTGAACAGTTTAGCATTTAGATCTTATTCTAAGACATCGGAGACAGTTTTAAATATAACAAGTTAAACAGATTATCTGTTCCCCCATTGAAAATTTTCAATGTTACACTCAACTATATGCACAACTCATATATCGTGACCTTAATCATTTGCTTTACTCACACTGTTATTATTTCCTAGTCGCCCGCGTGTCTCAGTGGTTAGAGCGTCTGCTCTAGATTCGGGAAGTAAGGAGATGATCCTCGCGTCGTGGGTTCGAATCCACTGAGGGACGTGGAGACCGTCCTTCGGATGAGACCGATTAAAACATTTGTTCCGTGTCGCAGTAGTACTGGCACGAAAAAGATCTCTCACTTCTCAATGACTATGTTTGTATTTTTTGATAAAATGTATTTTCCTGTGCAGCTTCTGAATTGTCCGAAACGTCTTCGTAAGAAGTTGCAAAAGGCTCATATTGGTATGGAAGAATACCAAAGCCATGCGGGATTTTCTGTCCAAATAGTATCAAAATTTGTCACTTCATGGTCAGAAGAATCTTCACTAAGATCTTCGTTGTTGTCTAATTCCTCCTCGACATCCAGTTCAAACCGAATGTCATTTTCTTCTAATATTTAAATTTCATGTGTTTGTGAAGCCACGATGCTAATTGTAAAGTGAAAGGCTCTCACGGTCACAATCGTGACGTTTCACATTCCACAGTTGATAAGAGAGTTTTTGCAGCTTTCACGCTCGTGTGTTTCCGTGAGCAAGCAGAAAATGTCAAATTTTAATTGTTTTATCGGCTAAACCGCTACAGATAAAGAAGTGCAGATTTTTCATGTGTCCATAGATAAATTACTTTTATTGATTAGTAAAAAGAAATTATTTGACTAAAGGTACCTTTTAAGCCTTGGGTTAAGTCAAGGCTATTTTTTGACGTTATTCCGTTGGGAAATATTTAATATTTATAATCTCAACAACAAAAGTAAGAGTCAAACTTTTGTTCTACAAGATTTGAAAAGACCTTCTCGTTATTTTTTTTTTGTGGCACGGATATAAATAATCTTTGTTAATTTGAAGCAAATCTGGAGGCACGAGTGATTTCCTCGGTGCACTTTCAGTCATCGTGAATAATGAATGACAACAGATTAGATATTCTTATCGAGACGTGACTGGAAGGTGATAGTTCAGTAACATGGAACGCTTATATAATCTGCTAATAATGATAAAGTGTAACCTATTAATTCAATATGTTGTTCTTTGCAGTTCTACTTTTGTCCATGAGTTTGGCTGCAAGTTTCAATACCCTGGACAGTCAAACCCTTTCTTTCTCTGATTTGCTAAGAAGATTGAATGAGTTAGAGCAAAGACTGCAAGTGCAAGAACGAGTTAACAAAGATCAAGAGACGACCATTAAATTGTTGATCCTAGAGAATAAGAAATTTAAAAAATACGGAATTCCAGGCAGTAAACAATTTGTTGATGTTAAGATGCAAAATGGAAATAGAGGATTAAACAAAACTTACACCGGGGGAAAATCTGTTTCGACATATAAGGCGTATTTGTCGAATTCAAAACTGAAATCAAAGATATCTGATGAAAACTTTCAACCTGAAAGCTGTTGCCCAGAATCCATGTTGACCTTTAAGAAAGATAAACCTAAAAGAAGGTCCGTTACAGGTAAGCTTCGTGATACTGGATACATCCAGTCAATGAGTAAACAGAATGTCAAACAATTCACGCAAAAACATTTTTACAATGTAGTACTTGATTCAAACAATATTCGTGTCATTTTGGTGTTAATTAAGAAATGAATTTAATTTTTGAAGATTCATGAGGTTATGAACTACGACGCTTCACGCCGGCGTGAAACGTTGTAGTTCATATTCCTCATGAATATTCAAAAATTATATTCATTTCTTATATTTAAATTACTTTTCTGATGACTTGCCATAAGTTTTCGCCATTCAACTCTCATTTAAAAGCAAAACAGTTTGCACTATATTATT